GAAGGAGGAGAGAGGAAGAAGCAGCTTCATCAGAAGATGGTAAAAGATGCACTTGCCCTCGAACAAACCTGAACACCAACACTGGTTAAACGTCTCCCAACCCATCCTCTCGCTAGGAGAGGAGAGGAGAGGAGATGAGGGGAGGGGAGGGGAGGGGAGAGGAGAGGAGAATGAGGTAGGAGCGGACGTGAGGAGACTGGTAGGAGGGGAGGCACCATGCTGACCTGGAGCGGTATTCCATCTTCGCCGCCTGTACCATGATAACGGCTGTAAGACTTCGAGGTTGATTTTTTCCTAAAATTAGGACCCCTCCCCTCCGACACACTTATAAGCGCGGCATGTCCATGTTGATCGCCCTTCTCGCGGCGCTGCCTGTGCTGCAGGCGTTCCAACTGCCGTCCTCTCTCCTCTCCCCTCGTCTTCGTCCCTTCCCCTCCTCCTCCCCTCCTCTCTCTCGCGTCACCCCGCGGAGCATGACGCCGCTGGTGATGAGCGCGCAGTTCGACCGCCGAACGTTTGGCAAGGTGGCAGGAGGAGCAGCGGCACTTGTCCTTGGCAAGAAAGTGCTCGATGGCGGGGACTACACGGGGACGCCAGACCTAACGGGTCAGGTGGCCGTCGTGACGGGAGCCAACACGGGGCTGGGCAAGGAGACCTGCATCAGGTAAGGAGGGTAACTCGAAGTTGAGATCTCATGCAAGAGCAGGCTTGCGAAGCTCGGAGCGGAGGTCGTGCTGGCGAGCAGGAGCAAGGAGCGAGGAGAGAAGGCTGAGAAGGAGATCAGAGCATTGACTGGCAGCGACAAGCTCTCTACCATGGAGCTCGACCTGGCGTCTTTGAAGAGCATCGAGCTGTTCGCCTCAGAGCTCAGGAGCAGGCACGACAAGATTGATCTGCTGGTGAACAATGCAGGAGTGATGGCGATCCCGACGCGCGAGGAGACCAAGGACGGGCTGGAGAGGCAGATCGGGATCAACCACTTCGGGTGAGGAGATGCACTGAGTGAGCCCGGGGGGTCCGACTGACACCAGCCCAGCCACTTCCACCTTACAAACCTCCTCCTCCCTCAGATCAAGAAGGCCTCAGAAAAATCCGGAGATGCTCGCATCATCAACCTCTCCTCCGACGCCCACCTCATCGCCTTCAACGGGATGAACTTTGACGACTTGCAGTCCAAGAGCAGCTACGATCCCTGGAAGGTCAGCTCCCTCTGCGCGCTACTGCTCCCGCCGCGTGACCTCAGCTGACCTCCTACTCTCAGGCCTACGGACAGTCGAAGCTCGCCAACATCCTCTTCACCAAGGAGCTGCAGAGGAGGCTCGGGGCTGACTCTCCTGTCTCCGCCGCTGCCGTGCACCCTGGCGTTGTGCGCACAGAGCTGGGGTATTGCTGCTGATTCGGAGAGGAGGAATCTGCAAGCTGACACTCTCGGTGGTCCAGGAGAAACTTCTTCCTTCCACCCGAGCTCTGCAGCTCTCTTGGCTCTGTGGACTGCAAAGGACAAGTTGTCTTTCCCCACCTCTTTTCAGTCCCGCCCCCCCCCCCTCTCCCCTAACCCTCCAGGCTTGTTTTCCTCCGCATCCCACTACCACCCCCTTCTGTGTCAACCTCATTCCCCTTCTCAGGCCCTGCCCTGCCTAACTCAACCCCTTCACATCCTCCCCTCCTACCAACCCCCTTCATTTCTCTTTCGCTCTCTACCGGTCTCTCCCTCTGCCATCATACCTTCTCACCACCTTCGCTGCTCGTGACTCTCCCCTGCAGCTTCCTCCTGCTGCCCTCGTTGCCGGTGCCGTCTTGCTCCCGTTGGCCGTGTACACGAGCAGAGACCCAGCTCAGGGAGCACAGACGCAGGTGGAGGAAGGAGGTGGACAGGGTGGATGGGTGACACTGCGGATCAGGTTCGCTGTTCGGTAGACCCCGAGCTGAAGGGAAAGCTGGGAGGCAGGTGGGAGAGCCCTCAGACCCATACAATGGCGGAAGCTGACTGCTGCTGCTACAGATACTTCCGCGACTGCCATGAGGCTGCTCCTTCGCCGGCTGCTCAGGTAAGATGCTGGAAGCCTCTGCCTTGAGCTTACCTGGCCTAGGACGCATCCGCTGCCCTCAAGCTCTGGGAAATCAGCGAGGAACTGACAGGGAGCAAGTTCAACGTCTGAGCTGAACCAGATGAGAGTGTGACTTCTGTCGGTTTGTCAACGATTCGTCAGTAAAGACCACTCTACACTGGATTGGTGCTGCTTCACTATTATACAAATATCTCTCAACCTCAGCTGCTGGGGGCATGCCGTTCTGCAGCGAACTTCCTTCGGAATGCGTGAATAACCTTCACACATGCAGCACACCAAACTTCCTCGAGTTAACTGCAGCAGGAACTGTTTCTTCCTGGAGCCATCTTAGAGGGTAGTAACGGGTCTCAAGCTCCTTGCTCGACCGTATGACATGCGCGTGCTTGCGCACCGCAGGGTGCGGCTGCTCTCTATGGTACAACTTGTGGACCCAGTTGGACGAAGGATGAGGCCCTCCGATGTTGTCCGACCTGATCTCGTCGTTATGCGCTGCGTTCCACCTGTGCCCCAGTCCCTCCCGCTCCTTCTCTTCCTCCAGAAGCTTGTGGTCTCCGATCTCAGCTGTCTGCATGTCGTCTGCTTGCAGCAGGGTCTGTCTCCTTGCAAGAGTTCCCGACCTCGACATGGCTACTACATGGATCGCCGCCATGATCCCCAGCACCGCGGCCGCTACCGCTGGCCACCTCTTACCCCGCATTGAAAGGTCAATTGAGCCTCATCCCCGCTCATGTTAATGTTGTGTACTGGTACCGGTACTCTGACCGGTACTTCACAATCTAGGATGTAGGGGTGGGTAGACTGAGTAAAGTCGGGGGTCTGATCACTAAAATGCTAGACAACTGAAGGGATGGCTCGGGGCCATGGCGGAGGAGCAGAGGGAGGGAGGAGAAGAGAAGAGGGAGGGAGGAGAAGAGCGGAGGGAGGGAGGAGAGGTTCATTGGACTATCCAAGTTCGACCTGCTCAAGTGCGTCGAGAACTACTCTCCTCTACCTCCTCTCCCTTGCACTCCTTCCCGGCTCGCAGGCATCGTTCTCCTTCGAACTCTCGCTCATGGCGGGGGGCATGAAGTGGTCATGCATGTCTAGCGTCACCATCGACCTCGAGCTGTCAGTGCCTCACCCAATGTGGGCGGACAGGAGGAGCACGTTGTCCCTGCGAGCAAGAGGTATGCCGACAGGAATGTATGCTTCACGGTGGACGGTGGAGAGAAGAGTGGATGATGCGAACGAGCTCAAGTATGAATCTCAAGAAATGTTGCGAGCCGACGACCTCCAGGAGCTCCATACCAACCTGACTGTGCCTGCTCTCCCCCACGGCCTGTATGCTGCATCCTTCTTGATCAGCAAAGGTGACGAGATGCTGCTTCATTGTGACGTGGGCCCCTGGCGGGCAGTGCTCGATCCTTCAGTGGGGGTCTGCTGTAAGATGCCGAGCTACCGCAGAGAAGATCCGTGCGAGTCTCTGACGAGTTGGATGCAGTGCATGAAGCTTGAGAGGCTGCTCAGCTGCGAGGCTTTCCTGGAGCTGCATCGACATGGTCGCCTCCATGAGAGCCTGACTGCGTCTGGATTCTCCGACGTGCAAGCCGAGGGGATCCTGCAATGCTACAGGGAGACCCGCACGGGCCTTGTTTTCGCGCTGCTCGACCCCCCGCTGATCCCGCTGACGTCAAGGGTTACATGTATCATGGAGTCGATCTCCAGAGCGAGAGCGAGCTTCGCACATGACTACCTTAGAGCCGCGCTCTTCCTCTCTGCGAACTTCACCCACCTGCTACAGGAGCCGTCGTTCCTCGCCCAGATACAAGAGCTGGATGTCGATGTGATCCAGACGTATCAAGATTTTCACAGCAAGGCATCTTTCTTGCTCGATGCCATCCTTGAAAGCCCCTATGAGCAAACGATCTTGATCGAGAGCTGCCAAGTTTGCAGCCTTCAGACAGACTTGCTGTGGCTGCTCAGGTACAAGGATCTGCTCCTTCCTCCCATCGGATCATCAGTCGGTGATAAGAACCTGGACAGCTCCTGCTCAGCAGACGCACATGTTGATAAGGAATCCTTGGTTTCCCAACTGATTGTGCTCAAGAAGTCTGCACCTGTGCAAGAACTTCTACGTCAACTATCGACCGACTTGTTGGAGAGGAGGGAGGAAGGCCCTTTATCATCGCTGCTGGGTGAGGTTGCCAGCAAACATAGCACTCTGAACATCGCCTGGTTGAATGCTGAGACACAATGTCATTCGCAACATTTCGCAAGCAGCGGCACTTCGGATCGCCCGCGGGAGGATGCAGGCAAGGAGGGCAAGGAGCCTAGCGCTCGATCCCGTCTGTGCGAGCTCTTGCTGGAGCTCCCGGCGACGAGGGAGGAGCTACCGACTCTGTCCGCCATCCGGCTTACAACAGGGCGGGAGTGGGACTACTCTGAGTCCTCGCTCAACATGGCCATGAGAGTCTGCTACCATCTCTTCCGAGTCGCCTTGAAGCAAGACCCTCCAACCTCGAGCTCCTCCGAAGCCATCGTGAGCGGCCTTGGGCCCGTTGACGATGCCAACGGCGCACAACCTGCTGTGGATCCCGACAACATCTTCTGCTGGTTTGACATGCCCTTCCTCGCGCACCTGCTTTTGAATCGCCTGCTGTTCGCGAGAAGGGAGGGCATGGACAGCCTCGTCTACCTCGCCAACCGGAGGGACTTCGGGAAGCGCAAGGGAAACTTCCTCAAGCTGCCGGCCATGAGGAAAGCGCTGGAGCTCTACGACACGGCTGTCTGGGTGGACTTGGACGGCTACATGCCCTCGAGCGTCAGGAACCTGACCAGGCCTCGCTTCACTCAGCTCTTCCTCGCCCCAGAACAAGCGCTGGCCCTCAACGTTTGTCCTCAGCCGCCTCACTACCTCCTCTCGGGCTTCATGATCATGCGGTCTAACCGCTTCAACCAGGAACTGCTGTGGCGAGTCTCCTCCTACACGCAGGACGGCGAACTGCCTTGCGACCAGCAGGCGATACAGCACGTCCTCCTCGAGTACGCGAACGCGTCAGGGCGCCTGGCCTACGACCGGCGCTGCATCCTGCACTACGATGAGTTCTGCTACGCCAAGGTGCTGGCGGCGAACGGGATTCCAGAAGGAAGCTCTCCTCTCCCTCAAGTCTCCACCAGCCCCTTCTGTGGAGCTGCAGGCCAGACCTTGCAGCTAATGTGCGGCTGCAGCAGTCAAGAGTTCCCGTACCTGGACACGTGCCAGGAGCGGGAGACGATGCTGGTTCACTTCGGCAGGATGCGCTTCCGGTCACGGTTCTCTGAGCTCATGGACGACAACATCCAGAGACTCTTCGACCAGCCTCCCCTTGACTCCTCCCCTGCTGCTCGCTGATGCTCCCAAGAGTGTGAGGCAGCCCTGAGTCAGGCTACCTCGAGCGCTCTCCCAGTGCGCCGCTTCCTATCGCCCTCTCGGTCTGTCCTCCAAAAGTCGGGGGGCCGAGTCCTGCGATGATCAAGTTTCATCTCATTGAGATTTACTTGTATCTCAGAAGTATGTCGAGCTAGGATTATCTTAGAGTCCAACTTCTAGTACACGTGCCACGGCAGTGCGGCCAGTAAAGGTGGCAGGCAGTGACTCACGGTGACAACAGGCCCGTCGACCATACCGTGCCGCTGGTTTTACTTGGGGCTGGCGTGCCCATAGAGGATCGCAAGTTCAAGTAAGTCCTTTTATCTAGTTCAATAGTACTCCCCGGGCTCACTTCCTTAACTAAGTAAGTTCCCGGTCCGAGCCCGGCCCGGCGGCCCTTTCAAAGAGTCCGGGCCGCGGGCGGCGCCCGGACTGACCGTTTGATGTCCCTCGTCCCCGCTCTGACCATCGTTTTCCGCGCGAGCGCCATGCGGCGGGAAGGAGGAACCAGGTGAGGGAGGATGAGAAGAGACACCAATGGCCGCCTTCCTCCTTCGCACTTCTCATTCTCATCCCCATCCTCTCTGCTCCTCTCTTTCTTCCTCTCTCCTTTCTCCTCCTGTTCCCCTCTGTGCTCTTCTTTCATGAACATGCTCTCTCCCTGTGTCTTCTGCAATCTTCCGCCTATTGTTCGCCTCCTCTCTCTCCATGGCTCGTTGCACGACTCCTCTCTCTTCTCCTCTCTCATTTGTCTCGCCGCTTCCTTGCTTCCCTCATGTCTTACACACTGCCACCTTTTTCTTCGATTTATTCACAACTTGTCTTCCTTTGATTCGACGTTCTCACAAACCTTGTGTTTCCGCAGCTTTGTATGAATCATATCCTCCCCTGCAGTTTGTAAGGTAGAGAGGCTGAACATCTCGGAGAATGGAGCAAGCTGTATCGTTGCTCCATGCCGCTAAGGCGGCGAATCTTTCCGAGAAGGTTTCCGCCCTCACTGTCCTCTTCAGGCTCTTTTGATACCTGTTCCTCTGAGCAGGAGTCAAAGTTCGACAATCTTCTTACCTATGTTCGAGGAGTGCGAGCAGCGCCTGCGCTGTTTGAGGAGCTCCTTCCCCTTGTCCTGGAAATGCAGTCTGAAGGTTAGCCTTTCCCCCACGCCACAGGCGCACCCTGACCCGTTGCTGCTAGACAATCCCCATGTCCGGTCATTCGTCGTGCAGTTCATAGAGGAGAGCTGCAAGCGATTGCCACAGTGAGTTCATCCTGATCCAGAGGTCGCCGTGATGGAGGTCGACAGGCTTCTTCCTCAAGCTGTCACGGCGCTACTCGAGTTTTCACGCAGTGAGGATGTCAATGTCTTGACCAAGGTAGAGCCTGCTGCCTTGACGATGTCAGTGCTTTCTGACCTTCTTTGCTCTCAGGCCATGAAAGCTGTAGCCGTGCTCTTTCGAAAGACGCTGGTTTTTGTCTGCAGGTTTGACCTCACGACTTGAATGTGGGCAAGCTGACTCGATCTCGCAAGCGAGGAGTATGAAGTTGACAACGAAGACGCGATCGCTACTTGGAACTGCATCAAGGAATCATTCGCTGGCATGAGAGTGTGAGTGATGCCTCTTCCTGTCCTGTTAGTCAATGCACCTGAGTGGACCTCTCCGAATCCCCCCCTTTTTTTTTTACAAAGCTGATCAATTTTGATTTTGTCAGACACGTTTCCCACGCAAGCGCCAAAGTCAGGTGATTTCATATCTTTCAACCTCCATTTGAGCACAGGAAACTGATTCGCTCTTATCCATGGCATGAGCAGGAACTCAACAGTGTTACTAATTCAGTGCATTGCAATCGCGTTGGGAGTTTCCGAACAAAACGACAATCCTGACGTGAGTTTGTAGACTTAGAATGCATTCGAGTGGTGTGAGGGACTCAACAAATGACAGATACAAGGAGAGGATGAGAATGATGAGGAATCCTGGACTATTAATTGTATCCCTCCATGCCATCCCGTTCTTGATTTCGCGGAACTCAAGGCTCTGGGACAAGTAAGTCCTTGGCAGCGAAGGAAGAGACGTGACGAGGTTGCGCACAGGACTGTGTAAATCAACTTTTGAGTCTCCTAGACCCCAAAACATCTGTGAGAACTTGTCTGGTCAGCCATCTATGTGCCTTACTCTTTCGCAGACTCCCTTTCAAACTATGCTCTGTGCCATCAACTGCCTTGGGCGTATCGCACGCAATCAGCCAGTCTTCTTAGGAGAGATCGAGCCTGTCAGACCATCCAGCATTCTTTTGATCTCTTCCTGACTTCCTATCCAGGTTCTTTCCGCTGCGTGCCGGAACATCACAAACGTGGATGCTTGGCAGGTAGACGGGTGATGGTGTAGACCCATCATACTGATCCTGTTGTCTTTCCTCCAGCTTTCGAGCCTCAAGAGTACCGTCAAGTCAACCATGCTCGCGCTCCTCAAACTCCCTCGGTCAGACGTCGAGACTTGCTGGACGCACCCGGAACTGAAGGGAAGGTGGCAGATGCTCGGCTTACGCGGCTGTTCTCGTGGATCGGCTCATTTCTCTTGGGGCCTCCACTCAGGTTCTTCGCCGGCGTCTGCCATGTCTGCCATGGACGCGCTAAGCTGCATGTCAGGCTGAAGCAGCGCGACGAATCATGGAGAAAGAGAAGCAGAAGACGCGGCACTCGGCACCTGGGAGGTTGGTCGACTATCGGCATCTCATTCTCATTCACCGTCTGATTCACGCAGGAATGTTGTCAAGCGGCAGGCTGATCCCCGTCTGCAAGATGCCAGTGCAAACAAGCGAGCGAGGAATGCTCCAGGTGACTTGAATGTGAAGATCACTTGCGAATGACCGCGACCTTAGCCCCTCTCATTGAGCTTGAGAGAATACCTCAAGGCAAACCCCCCGAAGAATGGCCGCCCGAGCTTGTGAGCCTCTTATCTCTTGGTCTCCTTGTCCTGACGTTGCTCATCGAACCTCAGGTCACCGAGCTTGTGCTGGCTGCGATGGTCCTGCGCTCCTCCTCCTGTGCCAGTCTTGTCTCATCCTTGGCAGGTTAACTTCCCTCCTGCTCTGCCGCCTCACCTGATCGACGTTGCCGACACTCCCCTGGGGTGACGCGAGATAAGCCCCCCCCTTTGAGACTCACGCGAGTTGCAGCATGTGGCCAGAGCGGTTGGCGTTTCCCGGTGCTCATGCGAAGCCGATGAACGAGGCGTCGCGGGTGAGAAGGCGGTAAGCGAGGCGATGAGGCTGACGTGGTGCAGGATGCGGAGGCTGCGGAGGATGCAAGCGCAGCGAGCGTGTCGAGCATCCGGTCGAAGGCGCTGCAGAGGTTGAGCTGTCGCCTGCCGAGGCCTCGCGTGACCGCCTGGTGCAGCGCTCGACCGCTCAAGAAGGAGACGATCCAGCAGCTGATGCAGGAAGCCGTCCTCCGAGTCCTTCACGGGTACTGGGCTGACTTGCTGCCGACGCCTCTCATTCAAGTCTGTTCAGGGAGTCAGCGGCGTGGAGCATAAGAAACAGTTGGCTTGCTCGCCTGACCTCTCTCGTGTCTCACGGTCGTGGATGGCAGATGTTCTCGCGAAGCTGATCGCTATGGGGGACGTTTGCGAGGTGCTGGCACTGACTCACTGCCTTCGCATCCTGCCTGATCGACCGTTGCAGGGGCTCGAAGAAGAAATCGTCAAGTACCTCTTAGCGGCGTATGCAGGCAGCTCAAGCAGCTCCTGCTTGCTCTCGCGCTGACTCCTACGGGGACAGAACGGCACGAGCTCGCAATCCAGATCTTACATGAAGTTTACTTGTCGGATAGCGCATCTGTGATTGAGGCAAGAAGATGGAGAGAGCAGGGAGGGTGAAGGAGAAGGAAGAGGGGATGGAGGATGGGGCAGGGAGGGTGCCGGATGTCATGGACCTCACAACCTGTGCAGCAGAAGGGTCCGCGAGAGCGATACTGGAAGCTGCTGCACGCCGTCATCGAGGGTCTGCTGAATCACAGCGATGGAGCGAACGCTCAGGGAGCGGGGGAGACTCGCTTCCTGACCAAGTTGCTCGCTGAAGTTCCGGCGGTGGGGCCCTTGAGGAGGTGCTGCGATCAGGCTGACGAGCCGGCAGATCCAAGAGCAGACGATGAGCATCGTGAGCGCCCTCTGCGACAACGACAACGTCAAACTCAGACAGGTCCACCAAGTCCCGCCGGCTTGTTCAGCTGACGCCTTGTAGGTCGGACTCTCCTGCCTCAGAGCTCTGATCATCAACAGACCAGCGTGTAGGAGGGAGTGCCTGCAAAAACTCTTGGGTGAGGCCTCGGACTGAGACCTCCGTCTCTTGACGCTTGTTGCAGCATACACTATATGGGAGGATGATAGCTTCCGATCCACAGCCATTCGGTCTTCCTTGCCCCCCCCACATCACTTCCGCCCCTTCAGGCTTCTCCCTCTCCCTCTCCCTCTCCCTCTCCCTCTCCCTCTCCCTCTCCCTCTCCCTCTTTCCCCCCTTCTCCTCTTCCTCCTTCATCTCTTTTCTTTTGCATTGTTATTCTTGTCTCGTCTCACACTTCGTTTGCAGTCTTATCGCCAACAAACTTTTTAGCGTCTCCTTTCTCACGGCAGACATTCAGAGCTTCGCCGTCGCGAACATGCGGAAGGCGTGCAAGGCGAGCGCGACGATCGGGGCGGGCGAGGAGTGACGAGGCATGCAGATCGATGAGGGCGAAGACGTGGCGATGAAGGAAGCTAACGGGGCAGGGGAAGGAGACGAGTCGAAAGCCGCCATTCACCGTCACCTTCTCCACTTGTTCCTTGCTCTCTGTGCTCAGGTAGATGAGCAGGAGAGAAGAGAAGAGAAGAGAAGGGGAGGGAAGAGGAGGGGAAGAGAGGAGAGGAGCGAGACTCTTGTGACAAGCTGGCAGAATCACGAACTCCTACACGACCTCATTGACACCTACGTCAAGGTTGGACCCTCCTCCCTCCTCCTCTCTTCCTTTTTCTTCTTCTCTCTTCCTCCTCCTCCTCCTCCTCCTCCTCCTCCTCCCCGGTGCCGCTTGTGCTCAGTCACACGCGCCAGGCGACGAGTGCAGTCAGGACAGCCGTGCAGGGGTGCGTCGGAGACATGATCAAGGTTTGCCTGCCCTCTCCTCCTCGCGTGTGACTTGTGACGTGGCTTCGAAGGCGATCGGGCCGGAGTCTCCTGTCCTCCTGCAAGGTGAAGCAGCGGGCGTGAAGTCTCCTGGTGCTGACCCTTGTTTCAGTCATCAGCAACTTCCCTCCCGGCGCTGAGATCCTCATGCTCGCCTTCGTGCGGACGCTGACAGACGTGAAGTGAGCGGGTGGGACGTGAATGAGCTGAGAGCCTGGCAGGGGGGTAACGTGGGGCAGCACACCAAGCTGATTGAATCAGTCAAGACCTTGTACTCACGAACAGGGTGAAACTGCCTCCTCCTCCTCCTCCTCCTCCTCCTCCTCCTTGCGTCCTTTTCCTTTTCCTTTTTATTTCTCTTTCCCTTTCCCCGCTCTCCGTGTACTCGATTTCGATTCACGAGTCTCGTACCTCCAGGGATGCTCGGTTCATGATCTACATCTGGCAAGCTCTCTCTCGCAATGAGATCGAGTCACTTCTTCCCAAGATCGTATCTCTTCCTCAGGTCCTCCTCCTCCTCCTCCTCCTCCTCCTCCTCCTCCTCCTCCTCCTTCTCCTCGCCTCCTCCTCTGTCATGTGTTGATTCTCATAAGCTCTGGTGTTAACAAAGCTGGC